GGGGGGGGGGGGGGGGGGGCAGATTTTACATCAGCGGACCCACCCCCCAACCCCCCATTCAAATAATCCTGGATCTGCCCCTGCATTAGATTTTTTTAATAACTGGATGAAAGGTTAAATATTTAATTAGTATATCATACTTGACAGATCTTCAAATAAACTTTAAACAAATGCACATAAAATTATTAACAATTCAAAAGTCACTGTGAAAGTATATGCAGGTATCTACTTAGAATAAGGAATGTTCATCCTTCAAAAAATTCAGGGATGGCATGCAAGACTAAGGCTCTATTCCCATAGATTTTAGATCGATCTATCCCCGCGGGGAGTCTCACTAGATTACTTTCAGATAATCCGACTTAAATGTCCGTCCCGCCTACTACAAGCTGTAAGAGGGTAATTAACTTTCGTGTCCGCCCGGCTGACAGCTATTTAGCGTGAACCCCCAGGGAGTTAGGTCCATCTAAAGTAGGTCGATCTAATCTATAGAAATGGGGTGTAAGTGTCATCTGCTGTTATCCTTTTAGATAGCCCTCACTGCTGTCTATATGTTACACACATTTTTCTCAAATTACTAAGTTACCTCATTCTCAAAATGTGAAATTAAACACAAAGCAAAAACGTACAGGTACACTTGTTCTCAATAATTAATTATATGGACTGGAACAGACAAAGAATGCTTGCAATTCACTCTAGCCAAGCAAAGAAAAAAAAAGAATCTTTAAAAATTTGAGTTTGAAGAATATTAGTTGTCAAGTACTTTGTTGAATGCATTTTTATTCCAAAATTCCATGTACGGAAGTGTCACCCACCTACAATATCTAGCAGCGTAAATATCTCCATCAACACATTTCAGCAAAAGGCCTCGTTCCATACACTTTAAAATTTTGTTGGTTGATTCTTGTTGACTGTCTGTACACAAATATGGTGGTGGCATGAGATATTGGCTCACTGCCCTGGGACCAAAAAGCTGCAAGAAAAAAAAAAATTGTATCCAATTTTTTTAACACTAACATTCGCACTTATGGCAATAACTGTAACAGTAGGAATTCAAACAAAATGTTTTCCTGAGTAAAGTTTGATTGGATATTCATAAAAGGAAGGATTTTTGAAGTTAAAGGAGAGCTGGTTTCATGAAAGGATTTCAGAAAAAATGGTGATAAATTAAAATGATGAATCTTGAAAACTGAAACAAACAAAACCTGAGATGCACAAACAACAGATTAAGTACACAAGATAAAAAATTAGTCAAGTGATTTTCATTTTTTTTTGTGCAGTATACTACATTTGAAACCCTCCTCTATGATTATGATAAATCATTTAATGGCTTACATGAATATCATGCAAGTGTTATCATTGTAATGAAATTGGGGTGGATGGGATTTTCGTAAAGGGTTTAAATTTGATAAAATGTCATGGCTTATATACATGTATAAGAACACCTTTAAGACTCTTTTGAAGCAAAGTATCATTTCACCAAAAAATTGCAATTAACTTGGTACCTGATCAACTTGCTCCCCCATTTCCATGGCAAAGCTCTGAGCAACTTCCGCCATGTTTTGCTCAGTGCCAGGATTGGATGAATTATAATACAGGCGACTGCCATTGGGGTTGTTCATCTCGTACTGGGCAACTTGCTGTCTCTTGAAGAATAACTTCACCAACATCTCATGGCCTGTTTCAAGGTGAAGAATATTATTGTTAGTCAAAAAAAAAAAGGGAGCAACCTGAATAGCTCAAATAAATATATATAAAAGTGATGGTTACTGTATTAAATCAGTATTGATTTTTCAAATAAAAATTGTGAATCAACAACCATGCTAGATGCATACAATTATGATATCTAAAGTTATAAAATTCCTTAATTTAACAATAACATTACTATTTTTTCCTTCATTTCAGTAAATTTTTATTATAAGTATAAAAATGTTTATTCAGTACAATAGTGTGTAATACATTTTCACAATAAGCTGTTATTTTAATAAAATCTAAAAATATAATTTATAAACAATTACAGAGAAATAAATTTGAGTAAATTAAATATTCAATTTGTTTTAAATCTCTTTCCTTTAAAAATACAAAAGCTAAATCACATTTTACATTTTTAAAGTCACAAGACCAAAAAAAAAAAATGTGTGGGCCTTGTCAAAGGAAAAAAGATATATCATATCATATAATGACACGTACTAGCCTGACAAATCTCAATCCATGATCACCTTATCTTCTCTAACAGTAAGGATTAAATAAATACTGTGGTCACATGTAGATGGCAAGCAGAGGGGAAATGGGGGGAGGGGGGGGGGGGTGAAACAGTGAGGGTCCTGTTTTAGACAGGGCCTGTAGCCAGCAATTCAAAGGTGATTGTTTTTTAAGAAATGGACCTTTTTACCCTTATAGTTGACCCACTGTGAATATTAATGGAATAGAATCTAAATCAAATTTTGATACAGACTATAGACCTTTTCCAGCCAAAAGGGTGGTCCTTTGAAACCCTCTACGCCCCCCCCCTCCCCCACACCACCACCAGCAATAAAAGTGTGCTTAAATAAAAAAAAATTGTGAAGATTCGAAGAATCAAGATCCTCCAATTTTCCATATGGAAATGCATTTTTTCTCACACTTAATTAGGATCCCAGTTACAATAACTTAGCCTTCTGACTGTGACAGTGTAGTCACAGGGTCTTTATCTCAGCCAGATAAAACATATGAGTCACTGCCTGGAAAACTTTCATAGCTAACAGAAATTACCTGTTAAGTCACCTGTTTGGAATAAGTGTCCAGATTCCTGTTATGTAATGAACATGCAGTCATGTGGAGCACTCGTGAGTCATTTTCATCTAGTCAGTTCCTATTCCACTTGATTCAAATTTCAAAATTTAATATCCTAGCTTAATTCCTGATTCTATCATTAAGTAGCCAATTTGACTGAAACAGCACTTTTGTTTTAAATCTATATTACAACTATCTAGTTTGGTTCATTGGACTGGTAACAAATTTGTTGCTGCATTTTGAGACATTAAAAAACTTCTAAAAAGATGAGCTGATGCATACCTTGAAGGAATTCTAGATATTCTCATTTTTACTCAAGCCAATTCCATATATTATATGTGTATACAAAAGTTTTTAAAAAAAGGACAAAAGAAAAAAATGAAACCAATGTTATTTACCTTGAGGCTGTGGGATGGTAGCTTGCTGTGCGGCCTGTTGAGGAGGCATCAAGAGAGGAGCTCCAGTCTCTGCATCAGATGGGTAGCTCTGCTCATCCATCAACACTGCTTCTAGTAACAGAATATTGAATTATACCATGATTAAATCAGCTAGATTTAGTTTAATCATCATTCTCAGATTTCTTTTTGCTTCTTTTTCCTGTACCATTACGTAATTATTTCATTTTCTTTTTTTATATAAATTAAGGGTCTCTGCATCATATTGGTAGCTCTGTTCATCCATCACCACCAGTTCTAGTAACACATACAATATTGAATTTTACTATGATTAAATCAGCTACATTTAGTTTAATCATCATCCTCAGTTTTCTTTTCACTTCTTTTTCCTGCACCCATTTCGCAATTATTTCATTTTCTTTTATATATCAATGGGTCATGCCTAACTATAGGGTCTGATCTCTCTACATCACCATATTGTTATTCCCCAGCATCTTAACTTCCCTGTGTCATTACTCTCCCATGCAAAAATTTAAAAATTAAATTATAATATTACTTGCATTGCTGTGCCCCCACATTGATAATCTGCTGCACTGTTTTGCCTTCCATCATTTTTCCTAATGAAATTTTTATATATATGCCGCATTAAGACCTCTAAATTCCATCAAATTTGTTTTTGTAATTATCAACAGTTCTTGACATTTTTCTGCCAATATTTCATCCACTGACAGTCAGACTTCATCGGGGAGTTTTACTACAGCTACTGACAAAAAAAAAACTGTTGGTCATTTGAACATATAGCTAATGAAACTGTTAACAAAATAGACTTTACAAAAATCAACAGACCTGTGTCTTGTGGAGTATCACTCTGAGCTGCCTGGGTCACTTGGCCCTCCTGGGTAGTAACAATAGTCAGAGGTGTCCAGGGGGCCATTCCGACACTCACTGCAGGCTGGATGGAGATCATGGAGACCTCGCCACTGATGTACTTCTGCTGGTCAAGACTGTCGCACTTGAGTAGGTCGTCACTTTTGATGTCTCCCCACTCATCATTTGACATCAAAGTTGTCTGGCTATCTGGAAAGAACGTATATGGTTCTTATTAGGAGAGGTGTAAATTGCTGTACATATAGGTTAAAGTTGCCTCTTGGGTTTTTTCTGAATGTGGGATAATCACCACCTACATGAAAATGTTTTTTTTTTTAGTTAAGCTTTGGAGCTGCGATCTTTAAGTTTTTTGTCTTTGCCCAATGATACAGAATTTACAAAAAAATTAATCAAAAAGGTATCATGCATAGCATAAAATTGCTTCATTTTTTTACCCATGCAGTAACATTAAATTCTGACAAATTTAAATAAAAATATTTAATTCATCATATATATATACCATTAAACTTTTATTTATAATCATCTAATTTAAATAACACAGTTCATAGACAATTGTTACTCTTGCATAGAAATTGAATGTCACTTGAAAAGTATTAGTAAAACTGAGAAAAAAATTCAAATTGTTAATAATTTGCAGCCTTATGGAACAAAGAACATTTAATTCATGCAAAGCAATATATCATATTTTAAATGAAGGTTTAGGCATACAGGGACAATAATTGACAATGTAACAAAAAGTGGGCATTCCTTTTGACAGCAAAGGTTATACCAGTAGGTGTGAACATGCATATTAGGCAACTTCAACAAGCCAGCAAAAGCTGTCCAATGTACAGACTATAAACTATATCAATTAGACTATTTGGTATCAGTTCTATTCATATCAGTCTATACATTTAGATATAGTCTTGTAGAGAAAAAATGTATGCTACATAAATGTACAACACAACAAAATGTTATAAATAAATAAATAAATAAATAAATAAATAAATAAATAAATAAAAAGAATTTCAAAATACACAATTCCAGGTCCATTTTTGCAATAGGCCCAAATTTGGGATCTTAATTTGCAAGACTTACAAGTTATAAAACAGAGAATCTGATTGAAAACCTAGAAATATGCCTTAATCATGATTTAAAAAAGGTTGAGATACTCATTCCTAATTTTGCAATGTAAGCTGTGTAAGTTACACATACAAATAACTCTAATATGTTTTTTTAATTGGCAACTCTGATATTTCAATATATAGTTATTATTTATGTGACAGTTAATGGCCCATTCTGCTCACACTGACATCATAGATATTAGGAGACACAGGTTACACAAGTATGTCCAGACTCCACATTGTCTGTACATAAAAATCAATATCCAATACCACTGTGTATGGTGAATGTGATATTTAACTTGGATGTAAATCTTTTAGAAGTGAAATATTTTTTTAAATAGTATAAACTGTATATAGGTGATGACATCACATGAATATTCTAATCCTTATTGACTGTGATATGATTACATCAAAGAAGTTATCAATGACATCATTATTGAAAAAGCGAACAGAACATAATATATAAACATCAAATGTGTTGTGTTAAACTTCTCATCCCTTTATCAATTATCTATATTATCACTAAATTTCTAAAACTGCAACAAATTAACAGAATAAAATTAAATTTCATCTTACTAAATCTAGAAAAAAAATAACATAAATGTAACCTCTACCCAAGACAACAAACAAAGCAACTTAATTATTGCTAACAAAAAACCTAAGATCAAGGAGTCATGGACACGGAACTGACATAATTATACAACAAAAAAAGTAAATGTTTGTGAAGGACAGGAGAAAACATTCATAATGCATGACACAAGACACTACGTCACAACATAACTGACTGACCCCGAGGAAAAGTGAATAAAAAATGGGACACTAAGTTTGCTTCAAGAGGAGAGCACTTAATATATGATTGTGCATCACATGCCCTGACTCTAGGGAAACTATAGACATTTATACTACAACATAATGTATAAATGGTCTAATCTATCAGCATCCCTAGTAAGAATACTTGAAGCTCAAAAATGAAATTGCTAAAAAGTCCTTTAAATCTTCTTCTTAGGGTGCAAAAATAAAAGATGAACAAGCCATCCAATTAGTTATCTTCATGCATGCAATTTGACATGCAGGAAGGCATTATTCATGCAGGCTTGGTATTCTGCAAACAAAAGCTATGAACAGAACTGAACAAAACAATTGACAATTAAACTATTCCAACTGCAACAAAAAGGCACACAATTCAGGTTAGAAATTTATGTAGCAAAATAATTTTTTTCTTATCTCAAAACCTTTCCTTTAACGGCTGCAAACAATTATCTTTTATGAAACCACATTATTTGCTTTGAAACCATCTGGTCCAGGAACAAGTTGCTGTAATTTTTTTTTTTTTTTTTTTTTTTTTTTTTTTGCTAGATTAAAGTCTTACACACATTGTATGCCTTCGAAAAAAAAAAAAAAACCAAAAAGATTAACAGACAGAAGTGGGGCAGAGGTGACAGGAAGGGGAAGGGAGGGAGGAGCTGTACTAAAACTCAATAACCCAAAGGTAATTAAAGAACCTGGGGTCACTCTGATCACTGTAACACTTAACATTACCCTGAGGTATCAGACGTTTTGCATTCTAACAAGAGAGTATTTTTTCTTTTCTTTTCTTTCTTTCTTTTATTTATTTTTTTTTAATCTTCATTCTTTTTCAGCTATCACAGTACAAAAAAATTCCAAGAATCACACTTCTTTTTGTACTTTGTATGCTCTCAATAATATAAATACATATACATGCAGTTATTGAATATATGCATATGTATGTAAATATTAAATTAACAACTGTTAATTAACATGACATAACCAATCTGACAATGTAGCCAAAAATACAGCACATTATAGGAAATTAGCTAATTTGTCCGTGATTTGTTTAAAGATCAGAACCTTTTTGAGAATACGCCCATGGGTATACATGTTAACTGTTACTTCTTTGCACTTTTGTTCAAGAGTATAAAACCATCCCCTCAATGGCTACCCTCTGCTCCCCCATTTTACAGCTCTAGCTTCACCCTAACATGCACCATTCAAAATGTCTACCTTCCCCTTTTAAACTAGTCTCCACCAGCATCTCTACCTCACCGAGAAGTATATCATCTTGATCTACAGGAAACGGAGAGAAATGACAAAGATGATCATGCAATTGTCAAAATACAAATAAGATCTATATTATCTTATTAAGAGAACTGTATTTGAATTTGATAAGACTGATCGAGATGAGAATCTTTTCATATGATCCATGCAACTACATGATCGCATGATATTGGAGGACGGAAATAAAATCATTTTCTTAAAATAAAAGTTTTATAATCTGGTGTCATCAGTTTTATGATACATATGACCCTGTTAATGTTGCAAGGACTCTGCTAACTAAGTTTTATATATACATGTAAGTTTTCTGTGTACTGTAACAGCCTAGGTATACCAAACTATAGTCAATTTGTAGTCCAACCTTTAAAAGTATGACATCAGAATCTGGTTTATGCTGTGCCATATATTTCTTTACACAAGAAATTCCTGTTTGCCATCCTAATTTGCATTCAAATTGTGCCTGGCAGCTACACTACTCCGCTGTATGTTGAAATACGTACATATTAGGACTAGCATTAACTGCCTTTAAAACTAATTCAAGCCTTCAAAGTTATCATTACTCAGTTGTCTTCATTACTATAGAAAATAGTGCCTGTGCCACTGAAGCACCTGAAACTGCATGTTTTCACAACATTCCAATATTAACATGGTGGTGCCCCATTCAAGTGATCCCCAGGGAATAAATGCGCCCTATTAAAAGAGCATATGCCCTACCATGCACAGATAACACACACACACACACACACACACACACATGCATGCACGCACACATACACAAACACACCACTGGCTATTTAATATCACTCAAAACTGAGATTTAAATTTTTTTTAACTTGAAGTTAACACTTCTTCTATTGAGTCTCTATTGTTTCATTAAAATATATTTAATTTCCCTAAAATGTAAATTTGTGCAAGTGCTTTTTTTAATTACTGGTAAAAACAAAGTAATCATATTGGTTTTAAATACAAAGCAGACCATTCCATTCCCATACTAGATGGATCTATCCAACTCCTGGGGGATTCTCGCTAAATTGCGTTCAGTTTAAGTGGCTTAAATGTCTGGTACACCCCCTTGTAACTTCAAGTACGTGGGTAAATTAAAAAAAAACTTTATATGGTCCATGATGTTGTTCATTTTGCTATACGAAGGGGTGTGCCAGACAATTAGGCTAATTATACTGGCTTAACCTTAGCAAAATTAATCCCTGCCAAGATAGATTGCTCCTGCTAGTACGATAAAGTTATGGGAATGCAGTCTAAGATTTCACAATATCAGTGCTCCACTTTATCATCTGACCTTGATATTTGCTTCCATGAAGCTATATTTTTCACAGAAGACCAAGGGTTATAAGGCAGAGGGGGTCCACTGCTTGTTTTATTAAATATACAGCAGGTGATGTGATTGATTAGCATCATATGAGATATATAAAACATTTAATATCCAAAAGATCCATAATAATTCCAGAAAACCCAATGTATAGAGCCTAAAATGATTGAATTTCTTCTTATAAAAAATCAAAAATGATGATCTTCTCAGCTACAATATTCTATTTCAAATGAATAAATGAATGAATGAAGAATATGAAGCTAACATTGGTCATGCAGGAAAAAGTACCAAACATGACAAATATTGGTATTTCATGAGTAATTTTGTACCAGCAGTAAACCCCCCTATGATTCAGGTGATTAAAAGCAAGTACGTTTCAGAACAAGAGATCGTGTTAATTTGTGCAGCCTAGATGAAACTTGATACCAGAACTTCAGTACCACAATTTGAACTATATTTTTTATCAAAGTGGTTACAGGTTATAATACTTACCAATTTTCATGCTTGAAACTACTGTTGGAACAGAGCATGGGGCCATTTGAGCCTGAAATATTTTTAAAAATCTTTAAATAAGCAGACTAAACAAAAAATATGAAATAGGCCGCATTCAGAGAAGCGTACTAACTAGTATATGCAGATCAATTATGGTGACCAATCTAAAAGCTTGCCATCTAATCCCCTTATAGGCACTGAATAGATCCATGGGGGATTATGAAAGAAGCATTCAAGTGGGTCGGCCATACCTGACCTGCTGACATTAGTTCACTGTTGCGTCTGCTGTTGTGAATGTGGCCATAGTCTCTTATGTCTTTATCATTTATGTATCTTTATTATTTATGTACTGGTACATACACACAAATAGAGCTGTTGTACACAAACTTACCAAAGCTCCAGTATCTTCACTGGAATCCGAGTCCATGTCACTGGCATTGAATGTGGATGAGATTCTTTTCTTTTTCACTTCTGGAAAAAAAGTTTGCCTCGATTGTTACTTCACTGCCATAGTTACAAACCAAGGGCCAGAGAAGCAGATATACAGGGTTTATGAAAGTTATTGTTCACTCACATTAACCCTATGATCACACCTTAGACAGCCAAAATAAGGACAAAAATTTGCCATGACATTCACATGCTATCTCAAATTAAACACTGTGATGCGCAAAAAATCTTTGACCATTTAAAATTTCAATAAGAAAACAAACATACCACATTTGGGCAGTAGTCTGTACACTCTGTATGGTGGTTCTGCATCTGAGCAGCTTAATTCTTTATCTTGGTTAATATCAGGTGCTTTATTAAAAGCACAGCGTAGACGTGTTTTCCAGGTTGCATAGTCTGGCTTGTCTATGCCTGCTCTATATCTGCCTGTGTGTTCTGCCCATAGCTGAATGAAAAACAAAGAGGTTTAAAGCACACAAGATTGGTGGAACATCTGAACATTTTGATTTGGGGGGGGGGGGGGGGGGTAGAGATGTAGAAAAGGTGAATTGATTTGCTTTTAAAATTGTAAATACTGCAAACTCATGTTTTTCTTGGTTGAATGCAAAAAATATGTCAAAATTTTGTATCCCCTCACTGAAATATACTGGTCTATATTTAAAACGATACACATAGCGCAATCTGTAGCATTTATTTATAACATTCTAAATGAAAAAGCGACCTCTTCCGAAGTCTAAAAAATCTCAATTTACAGCCTGGCAGAGAAGTTGCAATTTTTTGGATCTGAATTTCAGTTTCATTCCAACTGACACTGTCCAGGCAAACTGTCAACTTATGTCCATTTGAGTCTAAACTGTGGCACACACGCACGCGCACACACACACACACACACACACGAGAGAGAGAGAGGGACTACACCTACTTTAAATATAAGTGAATCTCCTTCATTCCAGTCTGGTTTTCCTCCATGTTTCCACGTTATTCTGAAAAGTGTGTGGTCCTCGTCTAACCAGTGAAGACCGGGAATAATCCCGCTGTTAATCTGTGCTTCCAACCAGGGCCGCAGACGCTGGCGATTTTCTGACATTACGGATGTTTTCAAATTCTGCTGTCTAGTATATTTCTACTGCGTGTCTGAAAATGAGTAACAGACAAATCAAAAACGAATGTGGACGCAACAAACGCAAGGTCCTTGTATATCTGAAGGTTGCCGATTTACTCCTGTATCTGTGGGCGACAAATCATATTGTGAGATAATGTAATGTAGACCCGCTTTTGATAAGGTTCTGGGCCTTCTATAAATACATTGTCCATTTCGTAGAACTCTTAATCTTAGTTAGAAGTCCAATGCATTTATAGCTATAAAGGACATATTGTTCAATACAGTTAAAAAGAGCCGCTGCTAAAAATAGCGCGCGTCAAAATACCGAGACTACATTGTACTTTCGTTTTAGCCTGCGCTTCTTTGTGCAGCTTTCGTTGAAATGGTGTCTACAATACTAAAGTGCCTAAAAGGTTTTTCCGAAGCAGATTTCACTTGAATTACCTGTAGATTTTGTCGCCAAAAATCTCTACGTTTTGTTCTAGCAGTACCCGTATATTTTCAAAAATATCAAGGTACTTTGTTTTCTCTTCATCATTTCTTTACAGTGCCTTATCCTTCCTCGTGACTTTTTTCAATTTTTACACATAAATTAAGCAATCTCTTAAAATATCTCATTATGGAATTAAACACACAAAATTGAAAGAAAAAAAACGCTTTTTTATCGTACTTGAATAGGATTTCCCAATAAGCTCCAACAGCTCCAAGTCGGCCAACAGCTTAGGCAAATGGTGTCTTCAGCTAACATCAATTGCTTTGCGTCCCGTGGGAGAAAGCACGTGGTTTATCACAAACACTTATCATTTAAACCCAAGCTCATGAATGGGTACCGTCCCCCACATTGTAATTTCCTTTGCAACTAAAATTACATCGCACGTGATAGCTCGGACCGCGTGTCTTTGCGCGGCTTTGTCTTTCAACATTGTCGTAGCGGCCGTCATATGACTCGACTAAAGCTTGTTTTGGAGTAACGTAGCACGTGCGCACCTATATTTGGGCAAAGAATTTCCGGATCGGGAATGAATATTCAGAGCCCCTCGATTCAAATGAACTGCGAACCATATAGATGAATCATCCCTGTGCAAATAAAACTTATTTTAGAGTATTTATTTTAAAAGACCACAGTGACGCTATATAATGACGCCACGGCGTGAATAATGATTCTAACTTTAGATGCTTTCGAGTCGCAGCGCTGGATTAAGCTCAGACTTCGCCATGGGTGGTGTACGTGCTTTTTTTTCAGCTGTTGGAAGAGCGGGGACATATTATTTTACCACTTTTATAAATATGATCATGTATCATGCAATTAATTTTTACTTCAGCCGATACATCATGTCAGACATACGTCATTTACAAGATTTGCTGGCTTACTCCTTTTTTTTCAGTTTTGACATTCAACGGATTCAAGAATTTTTCTAGACCCTGTTCGCATTACTAGTGCATCGATCACAGGTGTGACAGGAATGGTAGTCCGCTAGGATCCGTACGTAGTTCGTGCCCCCATTACTTTGTACAGGTGATATTTGTCCCTATACTTACCCCAATAATTCTCCAGACTAGCCCTAACCTGCAGTAATCACATATCGGACCCGACCCCGGACTTCCATTCCTAGCTGTCACACCGGCACTACCAACACTATTATGAAATATGAACAAGGCAGACGTAATTTATGTTTAAAACTCGCACAACATTTTATGTTATCAATAAGACGAGTGGTTATATCATGCTATATATGTTAATCAGCTCCCTTGCTGATTGACTGTTTCCTTTCTAGTTACTCACCGGTTAATTTTTGGTTGCGTCTAAACCGTTCTCTCGATCAGTGCATCAAGATGCATTCCTTAGTTGGACACACGATTTACCGGTCTTTTTGTTTTGGTACTTCGAAACTATTTGAAGAAATGACTGGGTTTTTCCAAGCATTGAAAATGAAACGATTCGTATTAGACCGATACTGCTGGAAATCCCGCATGTCTAATTTTGGACTAGGTCAAGGGACTTCCCCTTTTGCAGTGCCTACCTATCAGTTGCTGCATTCAATAGCACAACAAAAGCAATCTGGAATTTTTAGAAACTTATTCGCGTTGAGGCAGCTTGTTAAGAATACAGCAAGAACTCGTTTGATGAGAAAACTGTAAATGACCTGTCTGATGATTTTTTTCTGTTGTTAAACAATCAATAACGAACGTCTCCCTTCTCACCTCAGACACGTCTTTTCACTCAAAGGCGTCAGGTGCTTTTAAGTATGTATTCGTTCGCAGCTGTATACATTTGACAGAACGTGATCGTCAAACTATTTTATTTTGTTGTAACTCGATACACCTAAATAATAGTGCGATCAATTGCAAATTGTGCTCCAAACCTATTTACTTTGAACCTGTTGTGCACTGAAGTTTCAGGAAGTTTTGTTCATTAATTACTCTGTATGTATAGGTCTATTTAACGTATCTAAGATATTCCAGGCGACAAATATTGGGCCAAATATTACGGTTTATATTTTATGTTTAATGTTTATGTTCACTAGCTAGTTTTGCATACGAATAAAATTCCTTTAAAATTAAAAATAATTAAGTATCAGCATGTCATTAGATATTAATAGTGTGCCTATTTCTTAATTTTCTTTGAACCAAAAACCTAATATTCTGAATCAATATGACAGTTAAAACCGTAGATAGACGCAATGCTTCGGAGAAGTTACGATGAAAAAACATAAAAAACACAACTACCTGCAGTTCACATGCATCATTCAATAACAAAGAGAAATTAAAAATATATGAAATGAGCACAAAATATGGTCTTCTTAGAATCCCGTAAATCCTTTTAACTCATCTGGCGATAGGCCTGTGTCGGCGTATGCTTATATACTAACAGTTCTATATTTAGATTCATTAAATTTTTGAAAGACAAATGCAAGAAGAGCTCACAAATGAAGGGATTTCCGTTTTAGACCCATCGGCTCCTCATGAGGCGATCTTGTCAACCTATTATTAGACGTGCGACGTAATTGCGATCAATGATCGTTTATCAGAACCTACGTTCATACACTGACCTCTGACGAAGAGTGCAAACAGGTGAAAAGCCTTTGAGTACACCTCTACCCACCATATATGGTTAGTCACGTGGTTGACGCTCCTTATATGGAAGGCAGCTAAGGTAACGGGGAGGAGTTGCCAGCGGCTTTTTTTTTCTGCTCAGACCGGAGGCGGTTCGACCGGCATGCTTGGGTGGGGGGAAACGTCATTAAATCCTTGCCCCCTCCCCCACCCACAGGGAATAAAACTGATTGTTTCACAACTGTATATAATCGGTGTGTTGAGCAGAGATTTTCATTAGTAATTAACGTTAGACAGAGTGGACAGGCCCTCTCATACCGTGCACGTGTAAAATATATTTCTTTAACTGTAGGCCCACTTTAACAGAGGACTGTGCTTTAATCTACCCGCAAGTGACAGAAAGATCCGGTTGATATAATTTTTGATGCAATTGTAATTATTGATTGTCAATGGATTGCCTATAGATAGGCGAAAAGGAGCATTGCGACATTGACTGGATTCATGATGTCATGAGCCAAATTAATATTACCCAATCTATGCCTCTACGTCACAGTCCCACGTTGAATCTCAGTGTTGATAAATAGACAACCGCAGTCTGTCCGCCTACAGTTTTAAGACGTTGACAACAATTTCTCCACTTTTGTTCTCGTTCAGATTTGAAAGAAAGACTCGCAGGGGTTCACACGGCACAGACGCGACTTAACTTTCCGTTTACACAGCCGTCTGGGAAATAAGTTATTATAAAAGAGACAAAAAAATGTCCGTAAATCGCCAGCGTCTGCGACCCTGGTTGGAGGCTCAAATCAACAGCGGTCGTGTTCCTGGACTCCGGTGGTTGGACAGGGATCACACCATCTTCAGAATTCCATGGAAGCACGGAGGAAAACAAGGCTGGAGAGAGGAGGACTCGCTCATTTTTAAAGTAAGAAGATTTAATACTTTAAAATTTTTAGAGTCCAAACACAAGGTCAGCGTCCAAATCCAACGTCTTTTGCCGCTTATTTAAAAGCGAGACAAATCAAAGTTAAATTACAGCATAGATCATTTTGGCGGTCTGTCTAGGCTAAATTACACTTTCATTTTCTTAGTTTTGAAGGCTATACTATATTCCGTCCGTATTGAGTATGTAGCAAATCAAATATATAAGGCTGTTTAACTTGTGATTTGGTGGTGAAAGATTATCAAGAAGCGTACGCTCTCGGATGTGGCAAAGTTGCGGAACCCTACTACAGCGTGGGCTTCTTTGCCTTGTCATTTTCATGGTTCACTCAGTACAGTGAGAAGACCTATCATTCGGTCTACAGGGTCTGAAAAGCTGACCCGTGTGAGCACTTAAAACAGTGAATCTTTAAACCAAACATATTTTTGAGATAGAATAAAATAAAATTTCGTTTTTTTTTTATAGAATTGGGCTGAACATACAGGGAGGTTTAGAAAGGGAATAGATCAACCCGATTACGCCACCTGGAAAACGCGTCTCCGCATGGCATTAAACAGGGCGCCCAAAATACAAGAGCTGAGAACGATGAGCAGACCCGACGATGAAGACCCCTTCAGAGTGTATAGATTCTTGACAGCAACTGGTATGTTATGAATTTATGAATTTATGTTAACTTTGGTCCATAGATATAGAAATTGTTAATTCGACTTATTTCCGAACTGGTACATACGTTCGTGTTACGATGGTGTACAATATCTAGGAGATCATTGTACAGTACGAATGTGAAGCGCACTTTTTTCTGACTTAGGTTCTGCTGAACAGAATTAGACTATTACCCCCTTCTTCCAAAATGTTCACTTGGGGAGGCTAAGCATTGATATGTGTATATTTGTTTTAGTAATAGAGATTATATACCAACGTTCCCTAAAATGATAAAATGAAAGTAGTTGTTTAGTCTAGGCAATTGTCTTTTGTTGGATTGCTCACCTGGTAAGGGTTTGCATGGCATTGTGAAATATGGGGTCCTAAAATACCGCGCTTAAATTTCCGCCCCTTTCTTCAACTCTTTCGTTTTAAACATCGGGCTATAAAAAACACGTGCAGTTCTGAGAATTATACCTGTTTTATCGTTTCTCTTACATCAGTTTACAAGCCTTTTCTGTGTCCAGGAATGTTTTAAATTACACCTCTTCACAATTTTTTATACCACATGGGGCTTATTTGTGGTTAAAGTTTGGAACTTATCCAACCGGGGAACATGACACATGGCAATCTGCCCCCCAAAGAAATAAAAATTATGATCACCTTAAGCTGAGATGAATATAAACTGCTAGTTTTCCAAATTGAGTTTACTCTAGCGGTTTTATGGAAAAATGCACCTTAAATAAATGAAAATACAGAGAAGGTCGGAAACATAGAGCACCCAGTTAAGAAAAGAAAAACACGAACCTATAACCATAGCGAGTAATGCTAAGGGCATTGATATCGTTATTCACCTGAAATTTAAGCTATACAATGAAGTACTGCACTTGCTCATTGATCTCATCAAAATATTTATAGCCCTTCCAAGAACTGTTTACCTTTTCTCTGATAACAATCACAACCCTGGCGCTTATGCTTATTGACAGTTTCTGTGCGTGAAGGGGGCAGGCATGGAAGAGGAGTGAGGGGGGTCTATAAATTTCCATTCCTATATTTTCGTATTTCTCTGTTTTTCTTTAATTCATGAAAATATGCATTTAACCAGAGTGGCTGAATGCTGCATATAGACTAACGTTCAGCAGAGCTTCAATGGCCAAGTGAGAAAATAATATGATTCTAAATAACTCAGGCATGCACCCTTTTAATGAGCTCAAATATTGCAATATCTTATAAACAACGCAGTTTTTTGTATTACTACTTTCCCTTTTATCACTACAGAAAAAGGAGACTCTTCAACATGTCTGACAGAAAATGACTCCAATTTGGATGAAGACAATGGAACCTGGGTAAGTAACACCTCTTTCTTGACCCCACCCCCTTAATGTTATAGAGAGTAACAAATAATTAGGTGTCTCATATCAAAAGGGTTAAAAGGTTGACGTGGGTCATAGCTTTCCCCCCACTTCAGGAACTATATTTAGACTTGAAAAGTTCACAAAACTGAATCACTAAGAAACAGCATTACCTTACATTGGGATCGATCCTTATACCCACAGGGTGTATTGAATTTCTATGTAAATCAGTGAATAATTCTTTAAATTACCTACACCCCCTCCAATCTCCTTCACACCGGCTTACCATCCACTCCACAATTTAATTTTGGATTTGGAAATTTGAAAATAAAAATGGAAACTGAAACAACTGCTCCCCAACACACACACACACACACCTTTGGCCCTACCCTTTGCCAGTACATTCTCTGTGTAAAACGTAGGCGAAATACCTGTACTAGAGTAAAGATAGCTTTGTGAATGCTTAAAAATATATTTCATGTTAAAAAAACACCAACTGCATCCAATGTCTAGACCAAAATAGCACACAGTCTTAAAAAATTGCTTTGGACTGCAAATGAATCTCGCAGAAATGTTCACATAAGCTTTGACACAAAAAAGTATGAAAATGAAAACAACACAAATTGTATAATTGCTTTTATAAGTAAAATTCTTTCTAATCTTACAAAAAATAAATTAATTAATTAACAAATAAATAAATAAAAAACATTTTCCCATGTATTAAAAACATTTTCTTACTTATGAAAAAGTAATTTATGTAGGTTCATATATTTTGAACAGTATGTTTTATCTTCTTCAGATTCCTCTAAATCTCATTGAACCTCCTTCCATGATGTCCATAGATGAGGAGTGGGCAAACATTAATTCTGATGACCTGGTCAAGTGCGACAGTCTTGACCAACAGAAGTACGTCAGTGGTGGTCACGCCATGATGCCTGTCCAGCCAGAAATGAGTGTAGGGATGACCCCTGTGTCCGGCGTTACTGACCACGACTCAGATGTGCCCAAGGGAATACTGGGACAAAGCGATGACTTGCAAATTGCAGGTAGTGCTTTTTTTATTTTCGTCTTCAGTTTTTATAATTCAGTATCCATGAAATAACTCACTTTATTAAAGTTACTATGACATCTAGAATTAAGTGGTAACCATTGTACGTTTAGTATACTAATTAACATAGCTGAAAAAGAAGTGTTTAATCAAAAAGTCCACCTATGAGTGCACTTCGTAGTTCTGAAAATATTTATCAGATTTTTGCTGATAAAGGTCAGCATAACTGACAAAAATATCTACTTTGAGAATTATGAGTCAAAAAATCATTATTTTTACAAGGCACACCTTTCAATGATTTCTGTAATTTCTTAAAATTGGTACATTTAAATACAGGATCTAGTACTAAATCAACAAAGACACCATCAAAAAAGTTAAGTTTTCACAATCTTCCACATGTATCATTGTTTTATTGTGACTAGGTTGATGTCATTCTTTACTTCTGCTTTTTGTCGACTATATCACAATGAGATGACGAGTCAATCTGCCCCTAGGTGGCAGTTCAGGAAGTAAAAAAAAAAAACATGATGGTCTCAACTCTGTTGCTCATCAGTTGAATTTCACTAAATTGTGCAACTGCAATAATAAAAATAACAATACAACAAAAACCACAAGTTTGTGGTTAAGAGACAGCAACAGATAAAGAAAGATTTCATGAATCTTTATTTTTAGGATACTTAACTAATAATTTATTGTTACTCACAATGTTACTCTAAATTTTCTCAAACAATAAAACTTCATAATCTTTTACACAGTGTATTGACAAAACCACAAGACTTATGATTTTCGAAGAAACTAGCACAGGTATATGAAATAACCTATTTCCTCTTCTTTAGAAACAGGAAGTACAGCACAATTGCTGATTAATATGCTCGTAATTAAATGATTTTCCTGAATATTTGTACTGCCCAATAATTATAATAGTTGTCAAACAAATTTTCAAAATTATTCAAGGAAACTGAATCAGGTGGAGAAAGAACTATACCTTGACACCAGAAACAGGAAGAAACATAATTAATGGACAGTCATGAATCAAATGTTGTGTTTCATGTAATTACTGTGTACTTGAAAATTTAAGCTTTCACAATACCACAACTCAATTATTAAATTTCTATTCAAGCTCTCTAAATATATATATATGTCGAAACTAACAAAAAAATAGGATTCTGCAATAAGCATAACTGAATCAGTTAAAAAAATTCACATGACCCACTCAGAAAAACAAAACATTTATATAAATCATAATCAGTGAGAATTCACAGTCCTGAAAAGCCCCCACCCCCACCCCCTGGGGCCCTTCACCTGGTCATCCATTTCAGGCTCAACCCAGCATAGTTTGATCCAATTCTTGCCACTCATTAAATTTGAAAAAAGGCAAACTGGATCTTAGGATCACTTGTAGATAAAGTGATGTCAATATTGACTTTCAGTCATGTGCTGCCCTGTTATAAAAGTGAAAAGATAGGGGGCTGCATTTTGTCAAGTTCTATTGATCAAAATGTTGACAGTTCTGCTCAGCTGGTGATAAAAGTTGTCCACAAAGGAAGACATAATCTTTGATGACTAATTACCTGGTGGACATATATACTAACAAATTATGGCTCTACTTAATGATAAGAATGTGAAATGGCCATCCCATGACCAGTCTTCAGTTTCATTCCTGTCGCTATTTGCACATGAATCGGGAAACATAAAACTTTAAGATGCATATTAGGTGAGGACTCCTCAAACCATAGTCACTGAACTCAATCGCATGCTGCCATAGAGATTCAAATAGTATAACTAAAAACTGAAGACTTTTGTTACATTAGCCCCCCACCCCACCCCACCCACCCACCCAACAAAAAAAAAGATGTTTATGCAGACATTCTCTTCTTACCTTGTGTGCCTTACATAAAGGAGGGGAAAATAGGGCATTTACAACTTGAAATTTGAAAAGGTAAGTTTTTTCTGCTGACCAAGATATTGATTTCTGAATCAGTTTTATTTTTCATCTTCCAAGACAAATGTATCACGTGTGTACTGACGTCTTTCATGTTGTCACAAATTTTGTTTTCAATTTGTTTTATGTATAATCACAAGGCCTGTCTAGTTCCATCTTGTGACAATTATGAACAAGTGTGCAAATAAAGACTATAGAGACAAAAGAAAATTTGATATCATGACGTGAAAGTTGCCACCTGATTGTGAGCATGAGAGATAAAACTATTAAGTTGATTTAATTGTAAAAGTAAAACCAACACTTAGTATAGCACGATGCCCTTGCAACAAGTTCAACAAGTTTAAATTGGGATTTGGGTTCAAGTCACCGTTTAGTTTTCTCAACTCCCAAGCAGGTATCAGTAGATGACAATGAAATCACCAGAACAGCTACAATTATTAATTATTACTATCTAATCTGATCCACCTGTCTCTCCCCCTAAAAAATAAAAAAATGCCATACATACCCTTTCAAAATAAACCAAACAACATTCAGAATACTTCTCTTAATAGAATATGTATATTTCTAGTCATTAAAATATAATTTGAATTCTAAGTAATATTCACTTCCTCATACAGGCCATCAGATGTTAGTGAAACTGTTCTACCTCAACAGCCAAGTCGCCCAGTACGAGATGAACAACCCCAACGGCAGTCGCCTGTATTATAATTCATCCTATCCTGGCACTGCACAGCACATGGCCGAGATTGCTCAGACCTATGCCGGGGAGATGAGAGATCAGGTATGGAAATATGGTAATAGCTCTGTAAGTTTGAACAAAATTGATTGATTTTTGGACATTTTATGAAACAGATTATTTTTCCAAATTCAATTTCACTAAAATGAAATAAAGATTATTCCAAAGTATAAAAACTAGGTGTGGTTTGTGCAATGAAGTGTATTAAAGAAAATACATTTTTTTAAAATTTAATTAAATCTTGGATATGCTTGGTGATTTAATCTAGACCTAAACCATTTTGGCATATTCATAATTGACATGTTTTGGACAAATCCCAAGGTTCGTCTAAGTTATTTGAAACATTTGAAGTAACACTCTTTGGCACAATGATAACAAATGGTAAGAGATCATGTTTACTCAAGCTCCTCTAAAGCAATAACTATAATTTTGCACTGTCAACAAAGGAGATTAATACTGTAGGCTGGAAGATTCAGTGTAAAAGAAGAGAGGTGAGCTTGGGGAGGGGGGGGGCATTATTTTATCCTTTATTTTTCTCCCCTCTCACCGCAAGTGAACATTTGCTGAAAAGGGCAGGGGAATATAAGATTAGGTACATGGATTTAGAAACATGCACGTGTTTGGTTTCAGTTGTTTGGCCCTAGTGTGTTAAACCACTATCTGATGCCACCACCAAAGTATGCCCAAGGAACATCACAACACCAGTCCACCAAGAAAATTCTGGAGAGCATGGAGCGAGGGCTGCTACTGCAGTGTATTAATGGAGACATTTATCTCACTCGCCTGTGCAGGTAAGTGTCACTTCACAAATGTGTCATTTTATGATATTATATTCTGTTTATATACAATATTTTTAACTTACAATTTTAGTTTTTTTTATGTGTTTAAGGTTTTGTTATTAGTTTTCAGTTACCAGTTTTGTTTTCTGAATACGTTTTGTAATTACTCATTCTTTAATTTTACATCGTACACAACACTGAGATACATGCCAAGGATGTATTTCAGTGAAGAAATAATTAGTACATAAGCAAATGATAAATAAAACTGTATTTATCAATCATTATTTCCCCTTGCAGTTTTCAAATATTTCCAAGTCTACTGCCAATCAATGTTCCTTACAGTGCACACTTGACTAAATAGCGAATTAGCACCATTTTCAAAGCTGAAATTTTCCTCAAGCTAGGTCAGGTTAGATAAATTACATATAAAAATAATAAACTTCTCATTCACTCATTTTTGCAGATGTGTTATCTTCTGCTCTTCTCCAAGCAAGGGTGAACAGATCTTCAAAGTGAAGCGAGACAACATGGGCATTAAAATATTTGATTTCACCAACTACTTTCTACCAGCTGTGGACAGGTACGTGCAGGGGCAGGGCCCTTGCCCACGTATTGAAGTGCGACTTGGATTTGGACAGACATGGAGCAGTGACGACTGGAGTCGGCGGGATACATTCATCTCTGCAACAGTTGTCAGTGCTAAGGCTTTGCAAATCATTCAACAGGTAAGAATGGGGTTCCTATGTAAACCAGTATCTTGTTAATAATTATAATTTTATTTATTTTTATATGGCACAGTCCATTATTGTAAAAACCAATACACCTGTTTTAATATTAAAAAATTAAGAATTAGTTTTTAGAGATTTGTATCACAGATCCCTCTACTAGTGTTGCTATCAATTTTGGAAAAATAAGACTTTTCAAAACCCATCTTCAATATCCATATTAAATCATTTTAAAACTGTATATGTCGGTCAAATACTTACCTATATTTTCAATAAAAAGGTCTGGGAATCTGTCAGAATCTAAAATATGAGCTAATTGGACCACAGTATGATAGGAAAAGGAATACATTGCTGTGATTAATAATTCTACTAATAAAATAATAATAAAAAGGTCTGGGAATCTGTCAGAATCTAAAATATGAGCTAATTGGACCACAGTATGATAGGAAAAGGAATACATTGCTGTGATTAATAATTCTACTTCAAATACATCACAATTAGCTTTCATCATTTCAGCTTTCATCATTTCAGCTGGGATGCCAACCCACTCCCATGTTTTCTATAGAGATCTCGGGGTCAGATGACTTTGACAGAATTGCCGAGACAATCAAAAAGCTGTGTGAACTGAAAACGTCAAATGGCAAAATGGATACCAGCACTTCAGGATCACTGCATTAGGAATATGAATCATGTCAAATGAATAATGTACGTATAAAGGAAATTAATTTTTACTAATCTGGACAATATTCTTCATTCAATCTTATTAATGTTTTATCAGTTTTTTTGGTTTTATTCAACTGTTTTCTAGACATACATTAATAATAATTTTTAATGTAAGGCCTGGACTTTACATCTTAGGTTTTCCACAGAAAAAAATGGAGCCCTTTTCAAAAATAAACAATAATTTTAAATAGAGTTTTAATTCAGACATCTTTCTCCATCAGTTTTACATATTTGTATTCTCTTTGGTTTAACATTTTGTTTTGCAACAACACCTTATGAATCTTTTACTCTTGCAACAAACACACTTATTATTATTATATTTGGCATATTATATTATTATATTATATTTTTGTCATTTATGGACTTAGTCTGACTAACTTTATCTCAGGTATATATATATATATACATTTTGTATTTAAGCAAATACTGTTACAATGTATCAGAAACTATAAACTTTGCAGCTGTCATTTTCACACTTTGTAGATGCACATTTAAGTGCTACTTTGTTAGAAATATTTTAGATCAATATTAGATGATGACTATTATATTAGCAAATGATAAAATAATTCAGATCATTTTAGATCTAATACAGTGTCACATAGTGTCTTCATATGTTGGTATTTACTGACCTTTTAAAGTTTTTAATTTGCAATAAAAAGGTCTCAGAATCTTTCAGATTCTAATTAATACTCTGTGTTAGTCTGTTAGAACATGAGCCTGGACCACAGCATGATAGAAAAGGGGATAAATTGCTGAGACAATCAAAAAGCAGTGTGAATTGAAAACATCAAATGGAAAAATGACACCAGCACATTTTTGTTAGAAATAAACTACATTTTGGATCAATAAAGAAATCTTACAGGCAGCACTGTGTCTTTTTATTTTGATAGTTACTGACCTTTTACAAATAACAGAGCCAGAATCAATGATATAAATTACCAGTGTTTACAGTCTTTGAAAACAATGACATCTATGAAGGCAGATTATGTATCAGCTCTGTGGACAAATGTCATCAGTTCATTATGAATGTCATATTATACACAAATAAAACGAAAATAAAATAAAGATTAGCCTAAAAATTGGCACCAAATTTTCGACATCATTTATTAGGCACCCAAAATTTCTGATCAGCTTGTGCATTCCCTGTTTTAACAGTCCCATGGCATCTGAGACATGCAGGCAACTTCAGTCAGCAATATTGGTTTCACAGAAAACAACCATAGAATACCCTCTGAAGTAGTTAGCAAAATGTACTTGCATTTTGTACTGCATACCTGCTGCTTGTTTGATAGCTGTGATAAAGACACTCCACCTTAATTCCTTCATTTCTTCCCAGGCATCAAAACTGTTCTTGCTGGAAGAATGCCACTAATGGGAGAAGCTCTGAAATTAAACGCAAAATCTTTATATAGAAAAAAATAATAATAATAAAATAAAAATAACTGGTAAAAATAACTGCAACACATTACTGCTAATGTGTTCTTATGTTTTCTTGAAAAGCTGTCAAATCAGCATCTTGCCAAGCAAGGTCATTTTCCTTTAGTTATTAACCACTGTAAAGGACCAAAAATTAATACTGACTAACATACATGTAACATTATGAACAAAAACAAAAAAATCACGTAAAAGAGACACTTATCATTTCATTATTGTATGATACAACTGAACTAACATGTAAGTCTCTGAAAATTAAACTCAGTTTCTTTGTCATGACAAAACAAGTCTTTCTTGGGGCTTGATTAAAATTGTACCAATGTGAAATGAAAAAAAGACCAAAATCATACCCTCCATTTGTTGCTGGAGCATCTTGTTCATTTTCCAGTGCTCAACAAGACTAGAAACTGCCTCAGGTTTATCAGGTGAGAAAACTTCCAGAGTATGCTGCTTACATAGGATACTATGGCAATGTAAGGAGCATAGTTTAATGAGTGTGAAAGCAAATATTATAATGGACACAATTTTAAACATAATTCATTTTTCTGAAACATTAATAAATATATAATTCCCAACTAAAACACTGTTAACTTCTGCTCCCTGATTCATTCACATGGTGTGAATAAACACTTTAATTTCATCATGACTAGCAAAGAATAGTGATTGACAATTATTACAAAGGATACTCCTCCCTGTAAAGCCTGGAAAAGTCCTGCACCCACTGTAACATGGTAGCCATGGAAGGCCACAGAGGTGAACATTCCGTCATCTTCTTCATAGTTAACTGTCCTGCATACTTGCTGTATAAATCCATACACTGTTCAGCCTGATGGGACACTTTATCCTTGAGAATATTTTGTGCTGAACTGAATGAGAACATAACATAAAGAATATAATCACATGTTGAAAGGGATTAGGTGATTTAACAATATTAAATGAATTTTGGGGTATGTTGCACATTGACACTTAGCAAGTGCTTACTAATAATTTTAATTTTATCAAAGTAGCTGTTGAAGGTAACTTTTTACTCTATTTCCTTTTAAAAAATTATTTTAATTACCAGGCTCATGCTCATGCATCATCAATTATTTCAACTTACAGAATGTCCTGTAATCTATTAATCATGTCTGCCATTTCATCATGCAGCTTATATAACAACTTCTCCTTGATATCAGGAAAACTCTGTGCCAGTGGCGTCTGAAGAAGATCAACTTTGGCACAGCACTGGTATTGTTCAGCCAGGTTTTCCAAGGAGGTCATGTCTTTCTGGCAAGTTTCTAAAGTCAGTTTCCATTGTTCGCTCTGTTCTTGGATTGTTTTAAATGTCTTTTGAAGCTGGCGGCAAATAGCTAGCTCTGCTTGCATTGGGGTATATCACTTCAATATCTGGAAAAAATATGAAGATTATGATAATCACAATAACATGCGCAGGATACGATTATGGATATGTACACGCTCGGCTGTCACCTTGATTGGATAGTAAACGATTGTCGTAAAATCGCTAAATGATATTAAAACCGGGTGCATAAACTCTATATTATTGTCTCTATGGGGACTTTACGACATTCGGCTTGAGGGCTTTAACCACTTGTAATAGTTTATTTTTGCATTGTATTAGATTAATGTGGCAGTCCAAGGTTGTCCTAGGTGGTTTTCAAGTTTATGCACCCGGTTTTAATATCATTTAGCGATTTAACGACAATCGTTTACTATCCAATCAAGGTGACAGCCGAGCGTGGATATGTACTGTAGATAAAAGCATTAGGGTTTAGACTATTCAGCTGTCACCTTGATCAGCCGATGCATCAAAAAACACATAACACCATGCCCATGATAAATTTGTGATTTATCATTTACTAGCATCAGACAACTGTTTTCTCTCCCTTGCTGTTATTTCGGCATTACTTCGGTCCGTATTTCTTGAGAAAATCTAAGTTTGGTCTAGCCTCTAGGATCCCAAACGTTTCGGATCCCGAGCTTGGTTTACGAGCATCTTGGACATGCTTCATAATCGTTCATACCTTAAACAAAGTCGACCTTACTGCCCTTGAACATACACTTTTAGATAAACTGAACATCGTTTAATTTGCCATAATACATTGGAAAACGTTCAACTGCATCTCTCTCACATCAACCTGCTGTAGCTCAATGGAGGCTGCCATATTGGTCACATGATCGAAGTGAGCATTTTTGATTGGTTGACCTAGTTTTTGTTCAAATTTTCGGCGGAAGTAAATTTCATCTGTGTAATCGAAGTTGAGGACATTATTTGATTATTACTGCAGCTTATCTGATAGAATTAAAAGAAAAATGCCCCCCAGAAAACGCAGAACAAGGGCAGTGTCGAGGGCAAAGCCAAAGGCTCCTTCTGGAGACGAAGGAAAAGATTTGACCCTTGAGGAAAGGAGAGCGAAGATGGAATTGTTTTTGAAGGACTTTGATGTTCATGGTAAACAAAACAGATTCCATTAAAATTTTCAGCTGTGACCATTGATATAAAGAGTGAAGTCCATGTTCAGAAAGTCTCTACCGCGAAAGTCAATATAAACAATTATCATAACATTAAGTGGGAGGGGGGATCGTATGTTTGTGTTAGTAGTACATGTAGCACTAGTTGATTGGAATGTGAAATGCACAGTCACTGTTACACTACAATGAAGAGGTGTATGGTGTCAAGATAAGAGTCAGGCACAGTTGCTTCCCAAAAAGCCTAGTGTAAACAGTAACTCCCATGTTCATGTAACATTCTGAAATTTTTATTCTCTATGTATTTGGAAATTATGATGGGGATACCTCCTAAGTCAATAGAACAAATTCAGTATAATATTTTTTTTTTTTTTTTTTTTTACAAAACTGACAGGTGTCATATGTTATTATCATCTACTTTTGTTTCCTACAGTGAAGGAACGTATTGCCAAGATGAGAGCTGAAGCCAAAAGGAACTGTCAGAAAATAGAGAGTTTGTACAGGTTGGAATTAACCAAACTGCCAAAAGTAAGAAAAACTAAGAGCGCATTCTCAACGAATTAAGCCAGGCTTTACAAAGCCGGTGACCTAAAAACGGCGGACGTACATGAAAGAAAAACCGCCTAATCTTTTAATAGTCTCTCCGCCTCTCACACGCCTCCCCACACGTCGTCCCTGCGGGGTACAGTAATTAAATCTCGGCTCCGAACATTAATATTTCCGTGAATATCTCTGGTGATATTATCTCCTTAGATAGTCGATTCATTGCTGCTCTACGGGCCAAATTATTCCTTTTTCGTCTGTTTTCAAAGATAATAGAACAGAAGAGCTTTTTTTTTTTCGATCGCCTTCAGCCGCTATGCCTTCTTCACCACGAGTTTAACTGATGAGCATGCGCACTTAATATTTCTCAGGTAGCTTCTGCATGGCGAACGGAGCCGAGATTTAATTACTGTACCCCGCAGGGACGACGTGTGGGGAGGCGGAGAGACTATTAAAAGATTAGGCGGTTTTTCTTTCATGTACGTCTGCCATTTTTAGGTCACCGGCTTTGTAAAGCCTGGCTTAATTCGTTGAGAATGCGCTCTAAATGAATTAAGATAAAATAATGGACATTAGTAATAAGATAGGAGCATTTATAAAAGTAATGATATTAGCACAGTGTTATGTTTTAGTTTTTATTTTTCATACGCATGTCTGCTACATATTAAAAATAATTGAGGAATTGCACATGATTTTTCCTTGAATTAATTTTTGTTCATGGCATTTAGTTTTGATAGTCATCGTTTTATAAAGATAAAGATAACATGGTCAAATCTATGATAACTGCAATAACCACTACTTAAAAGTATTTTAGAATTACTATAAGTTTTTACTTTGGATGTCTTTCTTCAGTTATTGCAGCATGTAGTGATCAAATGATTGAGGTTCTCAGTTATAATGCATCTTATACTAATACTGATATTTTGTTTTATTCCAGCATATAAGAGACATGAAAAGATCAGAATTTCTCAGTAAGTAGCAACTAGGTAAATTTTTCTCCAACTAAATGTACAAGTTAATGGTAAGAATTCAAGTAAAAATTGAAGGAAGTTGGAAAGGCATTTTTAAACAGTTTGTGAATGGTGATTTTAACAAGAAGCCTATCGTATTAAAGCTCAGGAAGGTAAAACTTAAAATTGGTGTTTTTTCCCCCACCATTTTGGCTTTTGTTTGAAAATAACATTTCTTTGTGTTTATTTTCCAGAACTTGGTGGTACTATCAGTGCAGTCAGCATGCATGAGGCAGAGGAACTTGTAGGAACGCTCTCAGCGACCATAGATTCCAAACTTTCGTAAGTAATAAAATGGCATCATTAAGTATCAAAAGTCCCCTATTGGATATGCAAAATACTGTTTAAGGAAACTTTTTTGATAATTAATTATTTAGTCACAAGGCCTGTGTTAAGTTTAAGAGCAAATTCATAAGGTATATTATTTTTGTTTATAACTTTATGTGACTGACAAATGTGTTAAAGATTGAATGATTTGATGTAAGACAGTAAGTGCCTCTACAAAAGATTTAGTCTTATAAAGTAAAAACGTTTTTTGAACAGATAATGATTTATTTTTATTATAAGACCACAGAGTGTTTTTATATACATACATATCAATTACTGCAATACTGGCTACATATTATGCTATATATATTTATCTTGTTAAGCTGTCAGAGATTGAGAACTGTTTCCAAGACATCTAGCACATGTGCTACCATAGAAGAAGAGGAAGAAGAAACCACAACCAAAAAGGTCAGCAAGGACAGATACCAAAGCCTTCCCAGTTAGACACAATTGACATTAGAAATTAGTTTCTGCTTACTGAACAACCTTTAAAAAACTTTGAGACAATATTTCCCCCACCTCGTGATGTTTTATTATTTATTTTTTATGTATGCTCTGTTCTGTTACACAAAAACATTTCTGCATAAAAAAACCCTCTCCAATCTGGTCTAGCTTCAAAAATAGGGTCACAAAAAAGTTTTTGAGGTGTTCTCCATGGGAATACAAAAACATTTAATTTTGAATACGTATTGCTTGAGGATTTTCTGGAGATCATTTCAAGATGTCTAGGCTATCAGATTAATTTTGAGTAATTGTCCAGTGGGTAAGTATACTAGATAATGATTTGGTGGTATACTAGTACTTGAACATCAAATGCGTGAATACATGCACCTTATGGAAATCTATTGACAGAATTTGCAATCTTTCGATGATGAAATTTTTGTTGTTGTTGTTTCAGAAACCAACGCGCAGAGGAAAGGCGGTGCTGGGAGATGCCAGTAACATGCCCCCGCCACCTCCACCCACCACAGGAAGAACTAGGTATACACAGTTGAATTTATTAAAGACAAAGGCTTTTCAATCCTGTAAAATAAAAAAGGGTCTATAAGTTTATGATTAAAAAATGAAAAAGATTGATATAAGTATTACATTAGGTTGTATGTTATTGTGACTCATAACCCTTAGTTAACAACAATCAAGACTTGGGTCCACTTTTAGCAAACTGGTGATGATAATGATAATAATAATGATAAATATATTGTTAATATGACATGAGCCAAAAATGGAAAGAAGAGGTCTGATAAGTGAGTGCTATGGGTATATAGGCTACTAGGTCAATGTGACCTTAGCATTGCATGGGGCATTCACAGTTTTCAGGGAGCAGATTATCTTATTTGTTTTAAGTACTGTGCCAGTTAAAACTCCCATGGATTTACCCAGTGATATTTACAAGAAGTCTTGATTTTACTGTATCATTTGAGAATAATTCAATCCTTAAAACTGTTGTTATCAAATTTTTACTTGGTACCATTTTGAATTGTTGCAGAAGAGCCACAGCCAGGACAACACAGAATGCAAGCTACCAAACACCTTTTGGTAGAGCTGGAGGAAAGACCACCTGTGATACTCCCCTCTTTACCCCAAGGTTTGACCCCAGGTAATAATGACCTTTATTTGACCCCCTCCTTAATGACCTTGACCCAGTGTCATAGCCTCTGTTTGACTCAGAGCACATTAAGAACAGTTGATCCGTAGACTAAATAGTCTGCCGATCAAATATGGCATGGCCCACTTTAAAGCTTGGCAAGATTTAATTGCCCTGCCCCTTCTGGGATGGTGTGTGTGGGAGGCGGGAATCCATTGTCAAGTGTGTGCCATATTTGGTCCGCAGACTAGTTAGTCCATGGATCAACTTTGTCGTGATTCCAGCCTCTGACGACCAGGTAGCTTATTTAAACAGCAGGAAATACTACCTGTGATTATGATTTATTGACTTTGTCAAATAATATTTGACTCGGGGTAAATATATTGGTATCAAATTGTTTCTTAATATTTGGCTTTGAATGGCCACATCCAGTCCTGTTTCCACCACTACAAATACTGCTAGGACTAAAGGATAGATGTTTGCTGTAGATCAAACCCAAGTACTATACTGATAGCGGTCTTAGATTCATTGTTTTCTTGGTGATTCGTGGGTTGGAAATAGGGGAAATTAAATATATGCAACATATCCAATTTTTCAACAAATTGTATGCAATAATCACACTTAGTAGAGGAGAAAAGTGATAAGACAACCACAAATTTTTAATAATTATCTATTTCAGACTCCCAAACACCCCTGGCACCGTCCTGCGTAAGCAGCGAGAGGGAGAGAAGACAGTGACGAGCGTGGTGAAATACTCCATGGCAGGCAGTCCTCTGGCCCCAGAAGGTCCAGTCATGCCTGATGTCTTCCTCCCTGTGGGAGATGGACAGGTCAGTGAGGAGGGTCGATCTGGACTGGCTTCAACTTTTGGCAATAAATAAATAAATAAAGGAATAAAATAAATATTATGAAGTACAAGAAAGATTCAGTAAGAGACCTTAGTTAATTTTCTAGTATGAGACCAAAATGATGTGCATGTTTAAATAAGGTAGTATTTGAAGGTTTTTCATTGCAGCAAGTGGAAAATGTTGACACAGTATAACATTCGTCAATAATTTGAACAGATTGAAAAAAAAATTATGCCATCTATGCATGATGGAAAGTGGGGGTTCTATCTTTATTCATCAAGTAATATATTTGATATTTTGTTTTATTGGAAATTGGAAAAGCTTGACTATGAAAGTATTTTATACACAAAGCAGACTTTGTCCAATTTTCTGTTCTTTCAATTTTAG